ACAATTACAAATACTCATTTATTCCCAACAGATGTCACCACGTGTTAGTTATAAAATATTTTTAATATTAAGACTCTTCAAAAGGATTGCTCTGTGACTTACATTTTGCCTACAATGCGACTTACAGTTTAAGAATAGTCTATTTACTTTTATTAATACAAAATGTGTGAATTTGGATAGGAGTTGCCCTTGAGAATCACTATTTGGGAATGAAAATACCGTTGATGTGGGCCTTCTTCCCGGCGGTCCGTGAGTGGGGCACCTCAGTTCTGGAGCAGGAGTGGCTGGGGCGAGGCCCTCAGCATCCCGGGCGCCTCCCCTCCCCGCTGCCTGCTTTCCTTCTTGCTGCCCGCGCTCAGCGCTCAGCCCGCACTCTGTTCACTCTCCGTCCTCACCCGCAGTTACTCCTTAGCGTGCCTACTCCCTTCCAAGGCACCTCTTCCATCGTCCTGTCCCCAGCAGTGTCTTCCTCTCCCTTCCTATGGTGCCTTGAGGCAGGGAAGACAGAGTGACCCCTGGACACTGCTGCGCACAGCCTTGTATTTCTCTGTCCAGTATCCCTTTTTCTTCTCGGGCACTAGGATCCCTCTTTCCAGGGGTAACCTGTTCTGAGGGCCCAGAAAGGAGGAGGAGCCCCTCCTTACTCCTCCCTGCTGATACACAAGGCGCACCCCCCAGGGGATGGCCGGTGGGCCCAGAGGACCAAGTCCTTGCTGGCTGAAGGTTGTGCACCTCCAGCAGTCACGACCAGTTCAGGAACAGGAGGATTAGAATCTTTCTTGGATCCATGAGTTTTGGAGAGGAGAGGATCTTTCTGTTCCTTTCTGTTCCTTGACGATGTGAGCCAGGTCAAAATTGGCCAGTGTCAAGGGGAGAGAGAGCTCGCGTGATAAGGCGGCAGCAAAGATGATGCTGCCATGAATCAAAAAAGGAAAAGACATCCCTGGCGCAACCATTTGGGTGCTGAACAGTTCATACCCATCAGGTGAGACATGCTGCTGCCTGTACTGCATCCGAATGCAGCCCTGTGACTCAGATGAGGTCATGATCCAATCTGTCCTTTCCCCCTGAAAGAGCAGCCAGGCCTGTGATCACCCCTTGCCAGGGAGAGCTCTCGTTTGCAGGAGGAGCTAGGCAGTGTTGATAGGGAAATACACTCATCAAGAACAAATAAATTAGGTTTGGAGAAGGAAACCTTGCCTAAGCTTCTTACTATTCAAGAAGATTGAAGACCTTCTAGATACCCAGGTCTTCTTCCTAGCATAGAGTGAAGTCTAAACTTTGTTTGACAATTATGTGAAGGAGCTGACAGTAGAAGTGAGCTCTGTCCTAACTACCTCTTGGATTTCATGGGCCCATGACGCCTTAGGTGACTACAGAAAATGGCCCACAGAGATTTAATGGTATGGAATTTTAGAATTAAAAGAAATCCAAACAAACTGACCCATTGTTTTCTAAGTGAGATTAATTGAAGGTAATTATATTAACTTTACACTTATTGAATATCATGTCTGCATCTTGTACTATGAATAACCACTAAGACGACAACAATATGCAATGCATTAATTATTGAAACTGCCCTACTAATCGGTATTGAAATTGTCTCATTGCTATTTGTTTCTCAATAAAATTATTAAAAAATAAAACTTATTGAGTACTTACTATAGTTGTGTGGATCCAATGTGTGACAGATAACACCTTTGTCAGAATTTCACTACAGAAGCTAGAGGACAGAGACGATTCCATCACACGATCATCGCGGAGGTGGGACTTGAAAATTGGCCAGCCTCGTGCCAAAGTCTACCCTGGGTTTCATCCTCTTGATGTTACGCATTGCATTGTACCAACCTCGATGAGCCCCAAGAGAGCCTACCATTTTGCATTTCATAATTATGCTTGGTCCTCCGTATCAACTATGTGGCCTTGGAAATTTTGTTTACCTTATTAGAGTACTATACAACCAGCTCTTAGATTTGTTGAAAATATTACCTTAGATATATAAGACACCTAATAGAGCAATACATGTAAGGGTTTTTTTATTGGTATTAGCAGTAGCAACATTGTTCTTTTAAATTAAAACTGAATAAATACATTAGTAAGTAACTTGCAGACTTGAAGCAAGTCTTTAGGTACCTTCTGACATAGAAGTATCAGTTTTTATTGAAGAGTTCAGTGGTACAGAATGTCTACAGTTGGGATGACGTAGAGGAGTGTCTGGGGCTTCAAAGGCGGCTTGCTGACCCTTCCTTCCCACACACAAAATTCCTCCCACTAAATTAGAGCTGAGGTTTCTAATGAAGTTATCCATCACCTCAAACACCAGAGATCCTTTAAGTTAGACCCTCCCATATCATAATAATCCTGTGGGTGATAGATGTATTAAAAGCAATCTCTTAGAAAAGGTCATTATGTAGATAAGGCTCTGTGACATAATAAAAACAATTATTTATCAGAGATTCAGTTCACAAGGAGTTAGCCAATCACCTGGTTTCTCTCTCTGGGGAAGAGAGCTTCCCTAAAGGCCACCTGGTGGCAGATCAGTGGTGTTAACTCTTCCCTAGTTTCGTTAAACGTATCAAAGGAACTACACTGGCTCCTGTAGCTTGGGCTGTGTCTTACACATACTTGTATAGCCTAGGCCACCATTTTAAATGAGAAACAATTTATGCCCTTATTTCCTCAGTTTTCGGGTTTTTTCAGATTTAATTGATACAACTTAGGCATATACAATGATCACATTCATCCTAGGGAATTTGGATCTGTACATGATATACTTTGATTTGACTTTTTCTCCCTTTCCACTTCCCTCAGCGTCCTTTAACCCTTCTTCCCTTCATTTATAAAGCTTTGTTTCAATTTCATCCTTCTTTTCTCATTTTTTCTTCGCCCTTCCTTCCTTCCTTCCTTCCTTCCTTCCTTCCTTCCTTCCTTTTCCCCCTCTCTCCCCAGTTCTCCTTTCCTTTTGAGCAATGTCTTCTCATTTCACAATATCTCTTGTACTATCTCATTCTTATTTACACTTCCAGTTTCTCACACCAGTGAGACAATGGGATATCTGCAGATGTGTGTTCTATTTCACTTAAGAATGTGGATCCAAGATTTAGCTATGACAAATTGTGCATGGTGCTCATATGTCTCTGTGGTATAATGTTTCAGTCCTTCTGGAAAAATATGTAGAAGGCAAAAAGTTGGATTTCATGGGACCTCTAGCTAAATCTTGGAAACAACTCCATTGCCCATCAACTGAGGAATGGGCGAAAGAGGTATGGTATTTTTATACAATGGAGTACTACTCAGCTATAAAGAAAGATAAACTCGAGGCTTTTATGGGTAAGTGGATGCAACTAAAGATACCTGGTAATCAAAGCAACTACTTTAAAGGTAACAATTTGCAATAGAAAAACCTTTATTCATTTTCCATCATTGTTTTGAAATTCTGCATCTTTTTTTTTTCTCTTTTGAAGAAAAGGTTATAGTCTCAAGGTCCATCCATTTAGCAATGTTTTTCCAGTTCATCTTTTTTGTTCCTGTTTTATTAAATGAGCTAAAGAACCCACTAGGAAATAGAAGTTGAAGCCTTGTCTCACATTTATACCTCACTCATGAAATTCAGTGACCAACCAAGAGTAGTGATATGAATTTTGTCTAGTTTTAAATGAGAAGAGACACACAAATGTGTTTTTTCCAGTTAACAAGGTCCTTTTTATTGCCTGACTTAATAAAATTTTTGCTAACTTAATAAAAGTCCATCTTGTGTCCACATACTGATCTTAAATTTGCTCTTCATTCATATGAACAAACGCCGTAAGTTTAGAGATAGTTCATGTCACTCGTTGTAATGGTTCATGTAGTGCGTCAGCCTGAGAAGCGCAGAAGCTTCACTGACACTGCAGCGGGCCACGATGCTCCCTTTGTAAGCGTCTGATCTGGTGGAAGAGGAGGCAGCGAGAGGCGCGGGCCCGTAGCGGGCATGCAAGGGGGGCAGAAGGGCTGCGCCCCCGTCTGCACTTGCTGCTTCCACTGTCTTCTGCTGCCTCAAGTGCTGGCCCTCGGCGCTGCGCCACTCTGCCTGGGAGCCGGCTGACTACAGACTGAAAGCTCCACAAGCTGTGAGCCAAATAAACCTTTCCTTCCTTAACTTGGGGGTCGGGTATTTTGTCCCAGCAACGAGAGAAAAGGAAGAGAGTGGTGTAGCTATATTTGAACACTGAAGGCATGTGTTTGTAAACTGAGTTTCATTTCTTTAAATTTTCATTGGCAGCGGTTATGGCTTATATCTGAAATGTCCCCCAAGCCTCATGCACTCTCCGGTATGGCTTTTGGGAGGAACTGGATCATGGGTGTGACAAATGGATCAGTCTACTGATTGCATTAACGTAGTTCTGGGTGTGGCTCAACGAATTTGCTAAAGGCAGAAGATGCACTTGGGGTGTGAGCATCACCAACCAACAGGCTTGTTGCCTGACTGGAATAAAAAGGGAAAGGAAGGCTCACCACTGCTGCTTCCTGCCTGCTTGGCACGAGCTCTTTTTCTTCTGCTGTGCCTCTCTGCCACACCTTCCTGCCTTGGAGCCAGCCAGTTCTGCACTTAAACCTCCACAAGCCGTGAGCAACAATAAGCATTTCTTCCTTTAATTTGTGGATATTGTGTGTTTAATCCCAGTTATAAAAATGTAACTAAGACACTAGAATAGTTTGATTTTGGAATTCACATATTTTTATAGGGAAAAATGGATTTCTACATCTAGGGCAGAGTTTAACATTGATTCTGGGGTCTTGATAACCTTACTATCAAAACAGGTGAATTTTCCTAGGTGATTTCGCAGGTCTGAGAATTTAAGATTATAGCTTAAAACACTATTTCCTTTGTTCCATTCCATTAATCACCCATTAATCATTTCCTTGTTTGGAAATTTAAAGTAACTTATTGTTTTGAGAAACAGCTTTGCTCTTGGTGACATATAGAATTATTAACGTTGAAGAACAAAAAAATTTTTACCAAGTAATTGGCTTTTGCAACTTTCAGCAGATGGAATTTTACTTTTATTGCAAGGCGCACAATGATACACACAATGCACACTTAGCATCTTCTGCAAGTACAATATATAAATAATATGCATCATAGTTAAGAATATCTGAGTATACGAGTACGCTTTTCTTTCAGAGAAAATTACCTTGGGACAATCAGGTTTAGGCTCTGTGTGGATGGGATTTTCACACTCATGCTGAATCATCCAAAGAATTCTTGATTAGAAAATAAATCTTATTGAATGGGCATACGACATTGCCATGGTTTCTGACATCGTGTAAGCCAGCTAATAGAGTCTTTTGTTTCATTCACTCATCTTATGTCCTTCCAGTAGATCAAACACCTACAAATTCTAATACGACTTAAAGAATGCTTGCTTCTCAGTCATCTATCACAAGAAGAAATCATTTTCCTAATATACTTGTGAAGTTCTTTGATTTCTTTTGAGTGTTTTCCAACTTTGCTTCCTTTCAGCAATAAGCCTGCAGTTGTGTGTACATTCTTCACATCCAGTGAGCTTCGCAAGTAGCTTCATGGTCCTGACCACCCCGCTTCCCTCCTTCCAGCCGGAGCCGCAGCTTTCAGTCTCGCTGCTGCCTCCTGCATGACTGGCTCACTTCCCTGCACTTTCTCTGACCCTTGGCGAGGTCCTGTTTTTCCAGAGTTGTTACCGGAGTGAGGAGATAGAATTCCTACGGGGTCGATCTGAAGGTCAGATGTGCGCAGCGCTGGTCTCCAAGAGACACAGTAGGTGGGGCCCTCCACAGGAAATGCTAGAGCAGGCCCAGCAGGTGCCAGGCAGCATCTGTGAGGCAGCAGGCTTAGGATGACGCAGGAATGGCCGCGACATCACTGCTCCCCGGCACTAGGCTGACACGCGAGGCACTGGCTCCATCTCTCTGCCCCCCTCTCCATCTCTCTTTCACTTTCCTCCTTGTTCCCCACCTCTGCTTCTCTCTTGTGCACACTTTTGATAAAGAAATACATTCATACGAATGGTGTCCTTCCTACCACAAGTGACTGAATTAACATTGCTTTCAAGCAGCATCCTAAACTGCCATTCATCCACATTCTCTCTCTTCCTGCAGTTTGGGGGACGTCAGCATTAGCAGTAATTAAGAAGCTAGGAACATGCAGCAGGAGCAAAGTTGCTAGCCACTTCTCTCCTTGGGCTGCAGCTGTCTCTACGCGGTACACTCAGGCAAAGGTTCGGATCCCAGCAGTGGCACTTAACATGTGGAACAGCATATGGAATGCTAATTTACAGTGAGGGGTCTACTGTACATAATTTCATTCCACGACACTATCTTTATTCCATTTTGGTCTGGCTCTTCCTTGAAGAGGTCTTCCAATTTCTTATTTCAATAGGGTTTGTCCCCGGAACTACTTTCCATGGAGATATCCCTCTTATATGACAGGTAAGACTACTTGTTAATGTCAACCAGCATTTAAACCATTCCTATCTACACTCAGTGACAAGGATTTGGGCACATCTGGGAGTCTCACTGAAATTTAAGAAATACTCAGAAGAACGCTATGTTTTTCATTAAGCAAAGCCCCCACGATGTTGCTTAGGCCATTAGACGGCATAAAATCCTCAAACGGAGACAAGCATGTCCATTCTAAAATTCTGAAGCCACATGCAAAGCATTCTGTGTAAGGTTTCATTTCCAGAAGGACAGACAACATCCACGACAGAGAATGCACCTGCTGAGCGGAGCTCACAGACACAGTGAGGCCAGCAATCACGTAGGCCTACACCTTAGAGCATCCTACCAAATTCCAAAGGGTGATGTAAGACCTAGGCCTGCAGACGGCTATTATTTCTACTTTATCTCTTTTCTTCTTCCCCGGAAAATTATGGAAAAAGCCATACTTTGAGTTTTAGAGACACCAAGAGGCAATGTATATGTCGGATGGCAGTTGCAGCAGAATTATCCTAAATGCGCTATTGACGGCATTAGCTCCAGCGGTCACATCCTTCAGAAAATACGCTGCGCGTTATGTCCAGGCACCCCAACTGGCATAATGGCCTAATTCAGTACTCATTTGGGAGCAATTCTGCTGCCTGCTGAAGCCACAAAATAGCATCTCGAGATGTGTGGAATCAAAACGCCTTCTCTCCACGAACAGAGAGAATGTGGAAGTAGCTGTATGCTGATAAAGGGGTGCCGCAAATGCAGGAACTTGCGCTGAGGTTCCAGTCTGAGAGTGAGTTAAAGGCTTGGGGCTTGTTAACACTGAGTTATAGGTACTGCTGAAAGATGACCAGATTATGCTTGGCCTCTGAAAGAAATCATGCAGACACCGCCCCCCCAGAGATAGTTGACATTACAGCAAAATGTCTTAGCATCCTTCTATCAATTCCTAACAACTCAGGGAATATCATTAGCATATCCTTGGGAGATTTCCAGTCTGGAAAGGAAACTCATTTTTTTTTCACATAGACTATGATGGATAGATGAAAATTATATATACTGTCAGTGGTATGGAGCCATTTTATGCTTCCTGATATTGGTTCATGCTTTTTCAGAAGACTTAGCTGAACAGCATGCTAAAAAACATGAATACTCAGTTTTCAAAATATTAGACTATGTTAGAATCCACCCCTTGCATGTTTAAATAAGTGTACAAGTGTCAAGATAATGTCCCATCATACGCGAGCATCAGGTACCTCGAGCACGTGTCCAAGTCCTGTCAGGCAGGGACCCTCACGGCAGCCCCATGAAATGCATCTCTGTCTAGGAGAGAGACAGAGGATGAACCATGGCACTGTCCCCATTCTTTCCAGGGCTGGTGCTGTCAGGGTTGAACATCTGGACTGGGTAGCCCTGAAGCTCTGAAGCCAGACTCTGTTGTTTTCTCTTTTACTTTTTTTTTTTTTTACACAGAGCTTTGAAGCTAGCTGCACAGAAAGATCCCAACAGATGTGGGCTAAATCCAGGGAACCAGAAGAAAAAGGCTGAGTCCTTTGTTCGTCAGGAGGCTGTGTGTCGATCCTGCATCCCATCGGTTGGTCCTCCATGTTCAGCCTCTCTGTCTCCACTGACCTGACTGTGAATGCAGCCTGCATCTGAAGGTTTCAGAGAGTGAGAGTTCTAAATTTAACAGAGCTGCCTTTCCAGCTCAGACTGCAGTCGTAATTTGAGTTAACCCTCCACCACTGAACTCGTCTCTCCCTGTGGAACTGTAAGAAGACATCTCCACGACTAGTCATACCGGTTTATTCATCCCATCCACGTCGCGCGCGTAACCAGGGTCCTGGACTGTGTGTCTGACTCGGCTCGTGCTCTGCCTCTCCATCCTCGATCTGATGGGAAAGCAGAAGTCCCTGAAACACCGCTTGAAGTTTTCATCCAGGAAGGCATACAGGATGGGGTTCAGGCTGCTGTTGGTGTAGCCCAAGGCAATGCAGAAGTAGTAGCTGGAGAGGGCTGCGGTGCTGTGGGACACGCTTCCCAGGGCCTCCACCAGGATGAAGATGTGAATCGGGGTCCAACAGGTGATGAAGACGGCCACCACCACCAGGACCAGCCTGGTGATCCTGCGGAGGTTGCGGTCCTTCTCCCGGGAGCCAGAGAGGAGCCGGACGCTCTTCAGACGCAGGATCATCAGAGTGTAACACACGATGATGATGAGGACTGGGATCACGAAGGCGAAGACAAAGACGCAGATCTTCATGAAGAGGTCCCACCAGGCATAGTGCTCATCCGGGAACTGCAAGGAGCACTCAATGACATCCACATCTGAGGAGGCAACCAGAACCGTGAGGGGAAGCTTATTAGTGTTACTGCTGTGACACAACTTGCTGAGACAGTCTTGCCACCTTGCCCAGGCTGAGCTGCAACCTGCGACCTCAGCCCCCTGAGTAGGTGAGCTCACAGGTATGCACCTAGCTTGAAAAATGTTTTATTTTGAATACTTTTGCAAAATATTTTATTTTGATTTTGAATACTTTTGTTTGCGAAGGTCTCATTACAGTGAGATGACAGTACCTGAAGTGGGTCACCAGCTTAGTAACGAGGCCATAATATACTAGCTATCCCACCACGGTGCACGAAACAATGACACTCGAAACCTGCCGTTGATTGGTAGCATGCATTATGCTACAGAAAAGTAAGATTAACTGGAATTATGATTTTTCTAGCCATGGGAACTTATTTGACCTTGATGGCTTTTGAAAGAGCCAAATTGTTAAGTTGTAGTATAGCACTTATTTGCACTTCTGTCTATTAAGAGTTCTAGCCTCAGGGCTTGGGCAATTAGAGATAATGTCTATTTATAAGAATGACTACATTTTTTAAAATCTTTTATTTATTTACTTATTTGGTACAGAGTGTTGCTATGCAGTTCAGCTTACAGTGATCTTCCTGTCTCAGCCTCCCCAGTGCTTTGGTGGCTGGCACAGTGCCCTGGGGTTCTGGGGCTGGCAAGGCATGCGGTACCAAGGATTAAACCCAGGACTTGCACTTGCCAGGCAGACACTTAGACTGCTGAGCTATCTCTACAGCCCAGAATGACTAAATATTTTAAGTCTAATTGTTAAATTTAACAAATACCAATTTATCTAAAAACCATTAGCAGGTTTATGTGAATCAATTAAAACAACAAAATTTGTCTAAAAATGATCAGGTATTATGATTTAATAAACACAATCATACCCATTTGATTAAAAGTATTATTTAAATATGAAGGGCCGGAGAGATAGCTCAGTAGAATAAGCACTTACCTGGCAAGCGCAAGGTCCTGAGTTCAATCCCCAGTACCGAAAAGGAAAGAAAAGAAAAGAAGAAAAGAAAAGAAAGAAAGAAAGAGTAAAACTGTTAGAAGTGAAGACCAAAAGCACTCCGAGCTTTCCATCCTCCTGCCTCTGAAGAGTGAGCACAGAACAGGCTCCCCTCGCTGTGGCTGGTCTTTCTTTTCAGATGAGGTGGTGACAGTCAACACTTTGAATATTGTGTTTGTGAAGATTGTATTTTCTTCTGATGTAGGGAAAATCTACCTTAAAATTAGTTCAAGAATTTATTTCTTGGGCTGGGGAGATAGCTCAGTAGAATAAGCGCTTGCCTGGCAAGCACAAGGGTCCTGAATTCAATCTCCAGTACTGAAGGAAAAAAAAAAAAAAAAGAATCTCTTTCTTGCTTACACTTTCAGTTCTCCTACCAGAGAGACAATGTGATATTTACATGTATGTGTCCAATATATTTCACTTAAGAGTACAGTCTCAAGGAGCGACCATTTTCCTACAAATGTCTCAAAGTTATGCTTTTTTTTTTTTTTTTTTTTTTGGCAGAACCAGGGAAAAGGTGTTCTCATGGATGGTAAGAGTAGAATACCAGAGGCTGGAGGAGGCACCAGGGAGGCTGTGTGGGAAAAAAACCTGCCAATAAACAGAAAGCTAACAGATGGAAGGAATTATTTCTGGTGCTCTGTTGCAAAATAGGATAACTGTAGTCACCAATAATGCACGCATATTTCAAAACAGCTAGAGAAGAGATTTTCATTGTTCCTACCATTAAGAAATGATAATTTTCCAATGCACATGCTAATTATCCTATTTGATTACTCCATAGTGTAGAGATGCATTGAAACATCACACTTAGTGCTACATCATACAAAACATATGGGCCAAAATATAGCTTTTCTTTTCCTTGTATATTAACTTCAAAGAATCATGGCTTCCACTGGCACATCCAACACTGTATGCGTCCTGTGCTCAGAGTTAGATCTAATAGCTAAACTCAAGATTTTCTTAAGTGCATTCTTTTTCATTAAGAACAACTTGGCTTCTGCTTGTAGCTATTACAATAATTCTTAGCTACTATAATAATTGTAGTAGGCAGACTATATTCTCCAAAGAAATAATATACACAGAATGTAGAAGAGATCAGATTCAACATATTGTGTTCCTTCACTAAAAATACTGCTGTATACAAGAGACTTCATTATTAAATGAATATTAGATAAATACTGAAAAACTGAGCAACAAGGCAGGACCTGCGGAGGTCATTCTATCAGAGGACTATCCTGATATTCATCTAGTGCTTACAAGACCAGGCACTGCTTTACCAGCATCAATTCAGTAGATGTGGAAAATGTTTGAGGAGATAGGCAGGTGAGAAGCCAAAGTTCTATGTCATGTCTGCCCAATGACACTGTCTACAAATGGAGAACCTAGGAGCTAACCACAGCCAGTTTGTGTCTAGAATCTGTGTTTTAAGGTATATGCACTCTCGTTCAACTGATGCCCAATTCTTTTCCATGGTAATTCTTTATAAATACAAGATTGTGAACTACCCATGCGAGGGTGCCTGGCTCCAGTGTGGACAGCTTATCTAAGAGAGTCCTCCTAGTCACCCAAGATTCTTCACGTGTAGCCTGGGACAACATCCCACAGTGAATGCACTAGACCATCAAGATGGCCTTTCATCACAGGAACAAAAGCTATTTCAGAAAATTAAGAAGAGGGAAGAACAGAGCCTTCCTGCAATGCTAATTTCCTTCCATTTTTTTTCCTTTTGTACTGCACAAATTGAACTCTGGCTGACACTGGTAGATCTTTTCCATCGCGTCTGCACATATTCATCCGCAGCATCTCTCCTGGAGAACCCACATCTGTCTTCACTTCCCCTTTCCAAGGCTAATTGAAATCCATTTCTCTAAAGATGTCATTTTCTGACAAAGATCAGAAGGAACGCAGTGATTAAGTCTACAAAAGGAACTTGAAATGTGAAAACCAGGTCCTTATTGGCCCCGGGAAAATCACCTATCTTCTCGGATTGCTCAGCCTGTTCTGGTCCTGGTAGAGCTCAGGTAGCATCTGCCCCTGAGCTGCAGTTGTGGTATGCAGACAACTCTGCCTTGCAGTACTTTCTCATAATTTATTCCCATTTGCTGCAGGCACGAAGAAACAAAATCTCACGTGTGATTATAATCACACTTTAAAACACTTACCAGACAGAGAAAAGCAGGTATTTCTTAAAACGTTCCAACTATGATAGTGTATCACTCACTGTGTCTGTGTTAGAAACTCATGTCATACCTTTGGGGGAAAAGTTCCCGCTTCGTTTAGAAGCCCCAGACAAGTATGTTTCTCCAGATCCATGGACGACACAACGGGAAGAATGCTCGAGGGTGAGCTGCGAATCTTGGGTGATGACGATGCATCACACGTCTCAGTGTCAGCTCTTCAGTTGCGATACAGTGTGTCCTCCCACGCCGCCGGGTGCTGGCGGGGGCCGGAGAGGCTGCGCATGCGCAGGGCCTGGGCCAGCTGCCACTCTACTTAGCACCCCACTTAGCTGCGGGCTTTGAACCGCTCTAACGCTGCCCAAAGACCGAGAAAGAGGAGCTGTGTGTGCATCGTGCGAAACGTAGCAGGGTGCCAGCACCCGGCCTTTTGCTCTCATCTGGAAACTCCTGGCTGAAAAATAGTCAGTTGTAGTACTTGCAGGGCATCATGAACCTTCTTAATAACCTGCAGCATTTAAACACCCGACGGAGCACTAAATAGCACCTATAAAGTTCAGAGTGGTTGTTCGGCTTTAGGAAAGAGAAGGTACAAACTAGACCTGCTGAGTTGCATCTTCAGAATCCAAAGTCCAGTTTCCTTGCTTGAGCCTCTCCACATTCTTTACCCGAACAGGAGCCGGTCTGGGGATCTGGATTCTGATAACGTCATTTTCGCATTCTACGTTTAGAGGTGGAAAGGAGGGCAACATTGTTTGCATTCGCGTCTTCCATGGGTTTAGGGATCCTATTTCCTTTTGTTATTGTTTTCCATCTAGATTACATATGTCCTACTCACTCCTAAGTTAAAGGTGTATGTAGCTAAAAGTTACGCTTTTATATATGGGATGAAAATTGTTGCTCTTACCTTCCCTCACTTTGGTGCCCCCAAGGACTATGGCAGAAATGCCGACGGACGAGGACAGGAGCCAGATGCAGATATTGATGATCTTTGCCTTCAAGGGTGTCCGGAAGTCCAGCGCCTTCACGGGGTGGCACACGGCAATGTAGCGGTCCACACTCATCATGGTCAGGGTGAATATGCTGGTAAACATGTTGTAGTAATCGATGGAAATGACGATCTTGCAAAGAACGTCCCCGAAAGGCCAGGAATTCATCAGATAGACGGTGCTCTGGAAGGGCATGGTGGTAGTAACTAATGCATCTGCCAGAGCCAGGTTAAATATGTAGATGTTGGTTGCCGTCTTCATTTTTGTATACCTAAAAAACAAGAAACAGTAGCATTTCTGTTTTTCAATTCAAATCCACAAGGTAACTGTGTTTGTGACAGCCTTTGGATTATTGTTTAATTAATTTATTTAATACAGGGTCTCACTATGCAGTTCAGACTCATAGTGATCCTCCTGTCTCAGCCTCCCTAGTGCTAGGAATATGGGCAGGTCTGGGTATCGAACTCAGGACCTTGAGCTTGCTAGGCAGGCATACTACCAAGCTATCTCCTCAGCCCAGCCTTTGGATTACTTAATCTTGCTTTTTCATTTACTTAGTTTTACATATAACATAAGTGTGTAGCATGTAAAATGACTGCTCTACGCAGTAGGGTTAGTTAGAAAAATGGACAAGGATCTCTGACTTCACTGAATTTTTACTTTAATGATTTTCTTGAGAAAAAAAAGTTGAAAAGAGTGTAGACAGATGAAAAGATGAACATACATACAGTTTTTATTCAACAGGTTGAATGTAGTAGAGATCTTTATTTTGGGGCTGATAATTCATTTTACTCTTACCTAGATTTACTGTGCTTCAGCATTTTAAAAGCATTTTTCTTTTACATATCATGAAAAGGATAAAATATTTTCTCCTAGGCATTATTTTTTTCTTTCTGTTTTTAAATTCATTTTAATGAGAAAAAAGATAAAATATCATTGAAACAGTTTCAAAACAGGTTAAAAGGACAGTCACAATAATTAATACACTGCATATTGCTGTCTTTGTATTAGTTATTCAGAGGACAGGATGCAGACATGATATCTTGTCTAAACAATATTTGTACAAACCTTTCTTCTCAATGAGCTAGGAGGAAAGTAGCTGTATATCTCTCCTACTTGCATATATATTTTTCTCAACAAATAAATCCTTTATTTATATCCCCCTTTTTGTTTTGTCAGAGATGGGTGTTCCATTGCAGTTAGAGATGCTGTATTTGGAGAAGTTGTTAAAGGATCTTTTCATATTTGATCTCAGACCAAAGAATGTAGGTACTTGAATTCAGCAAAATAACTCAATATAGTCCAATAGTCCATAATAATAGTGAGTTATCAGCACAACTGGAAATTGTCTGGAGTTGATGACTTGAGCCTTTTACAGCTCAGCATGTTAATATAGCTTTACTTTACTTTTTATACCTCACTTTTTTGCTGGATGGTTAAGATCAAGTTAAAGCAAGACCTATATAACCAAAAATGTAACTTTTGTATCCGACAAGGTCAGTCAAATCCCCTCAGGATTTACTCTGAAATATGTACAGCAGTTCGTAGATCTTTTGTCAGTGTCAGCCATGTGGATGACTCACAGCCTTTACTTGACCAATTTGCTCTCTGTGAAAGCCTGAGATAATGTTATCTCTCTAGATGACTGTCCTTAAGCACACTCTACATCATCGATCACTTTCCTCTGTGGCCCCATAATCTCCTTGATCAGATAATTTGGGACACCATTTAGTATAGGATGTCACAGCAGAAGTTCTGTTATGTCCCGAGTCCTCACTGACTTTGAAGGGCTAGGGCCAAATTGTTGGGTATCTTTTAAAACCAACTATCTCTTTAATTTTTGGTCTGCAAACTTTAGTTGTCCAGAAGAAAACTTAATGATACTATTGTCCTGTAACAGAGACAGTTAAGCTTAAAATCATTATCTGTCTAACTATCACATACCTTAGAAATAAAATAGAACTGCTGTTTTCCATTAACTATGGATATTCTAAACTTTAAATCCCTATAGAATGTTAAAAAAACCATTTCCCCTTTTTTTACACAGATCCCCCTTCTGGAAATTTTCCCAACAGAACTGAAAACGTCATAGCCAAATCTTGGAAACAATCAAAATGCCCATCACTTAAAGAGTGGATGAAAAAGATGTGATCCTTTTAAACAATGGAATATTACTCAGCTATAAAGAAAAATAAACTCGAGTCAGGGAGATGGCGCAGTAGAATAAGCGCTTCCCTGGCAAGCGCAAGGGCCTCAGTTCAATCCCCAGTTCCTAAAAAAAAAAAAAAAAGAAAAGAAAAGAAAAGAAAAGAAAAATAAACTCAAAATCTTGTAAACTCAAAATCTTGTAGAGCAAGGGCCTCAGTTCAATCCCCAGTTCCTAAAAAAAAAAAAAAAGAAAGAAAAATAAACTCAAATCTTGTAGTAATCTTGAAGATATACTTATAAGTGAAATAAACCAGACATGCATATGTAAATATTGTATTGTCTCCCTAGTGTAAGAACTCAAAAGAAGAAATAAAAATTGAAAGGCATAACATAGTTAAATGAAAAGAGATAACTTAAGGATTAAACAATGAAGAGAAAGAAAAGAGAAAAGTCAGGAAACATGGTATGGGCAAAAACATACATTTATATAAACAAGATGATTAAGGCAATGGTCCTAAGAATTTCCACCAGGTTTTTGAAAATAGCAGTTAATGGGTAGAATTCTGACCTTGTCTAAGTCTGTATGCTGATATCTATGAATTAAGCAACTACATTGCAGACAGCAATGTGTGATACTAAAACCATGCTTAAATGCATACTGCCTCTAATGTCATATCAATTATTGCTATACTCTCTTTAAAGCATTTTTTTTAAAAAGGTAATAAAAATAAATAAGAGACAAGAAAAACAAAATGTCATAGGATTGTATTGCTACAATGTTGTATATGGTTTGATTCCTAGGGGTTATTTTGAAAAATTCTTGTAATTATACTAATCTTTATAATTATGCTGTCTTTTTTTCCATAATTTTATTGGAAAACAAATAGCAATGAGACAGTTTCAAACCAAATTGGTAGGATAGTTTCAATAATTAACACATTGCATACATTCTTCCTAGTGGTTAATTGCTGTACAAGATGCAGACATTATATCCTATTTACAAACACTATTAGAACAAATCCCTCTATTCCTTAAGAGAATGTAACTATATATCTATCCTAACCATTGTGAATACACAGATAAAAAATGGACATTCATCTGTGTCCCCTTTTTTTGTTTAGTTCTGTTATTTGAATTTTTTTTTTTTTTTTTTGCAGAACCGGAGATTGAACTCAGATCCTTGTGTTTGCCAGTCAAGAGCTTATCCTACTGAGCCATCTCCCCGGCCCCATGTTATTTGAATATTATAGGTGTGTAAACTCAGTGAAATATTCTAAAAGAGTTCAGTAGTCCATAATAGTATTGGGTCTTCTGCTTCACTGGCATTGTCAGAAATTGTTGACCTGAGTCCCCTACAGCTCAACAGAACACCATGGCTTTACTTCTTATACTTCATTTTTATACTTTTCTGCTGGATGGTTAAGACCAAGATGAAGCAAGACCCATGCAACAAGAGTTGTAGCTTTTGGGTCTGATAAGGTCAGTGAAATCCCCTCAGGATTTACTCTGAAATATGTACAGCAGATTGTAGAACCTTTGTCAGTGTCAGCCATGTGGATGAGTCATGGCCATTGCTTGGCCAATGTGCTCTCTGTGAAAGCCTGAGAGAATGTTTTCTCTCCATGTGACTCTCCTTAGGCACACTCTACATCACTGATCACTTTCCTCTTTGGCCCCATAATCTCCTTGATCAGAAAATTTGGGACACTACCAAATTATATGATGTTACAGTACATGTTGTCATATGTCCTGAGTCTTAATTAACTCCTGTGAGCTAAGCAACTGAACTGAGGATGGTAATCTGTAATAGTAGGTTCATGCTCGCAATGCCTGTCATTCTGGTCTTCTGAATATGGGCTGCATCTCATGCTATGCTGTCTTTTGAAATTATAAAATATTTTCACTTTTTAAATATGAAAAGGCTAAGACACAATAGGTTTGTTGAGTTGTGTTTGCCAGCATGCCACTAATTTGTTATTTCAATTGCATTATATGAATAAAACAGGCTGAGTTCTTCATTTATACAGGTAATCTCAGTACAATATTAGATGCAAAATAATTCTCTTATTCTTGAGCCATCTTGGCAGAACTTTAAAATGCATAATTTATCTCACCTTTCAATAGAGGGAACAGTAATTTTCATAATATGCAAAAAAATTGTTTTGGGGTCCAAATTATTTTTTATATTATAATATGAGGTTTAGAGCAACTCCATTTTCACCCAAAACTGAATAAAGGGTTGTTTGATTTACAGAATCTTCCTCCAAATGCCACAGAGCAGAACAGAACAAATCCATCATGTTTTCAGAGACCAAAAGGAAAAATCCTTGTCGATTCCCACCCACACACCTCAGGTCTGAGCACCTTATCTCTCTGAATTCATTCATGTCCCATCTACTATATACATCAGCACATGAGAAGCACCTCTTAGCATTCAGCGACAGAATAGCCCTGGATGCCCTGTAGTCGCTATGGTGTGAGGTGAAGTCAGCCCGCCCTGCGTGTGAACCTCAGAGCTCTAGCTCCTGCTAGATGAGGGCGCAGAACCTCACTGGCCGTCCAGGAGACAGAAGCAAGTGATGCCCGACTCGGCCCATCTGACGCAAGGCCACGCTGCACCTCAGCGTTCACCACCTTCTTCCCTGTGAACCTCCCCTCCCTGCTTCCTCTCTTCTAGTTAGAGCAGCACTCACAGCTGGAGGAAAAGCACTGTAAAGGCAAGTACTAGAGCCAACTTCTTGGTGTTCATTTTAAGACTCCACAATGGTGGTAGTTCTTTAGTCTGGATAGTGAGAAATGTATTTAAAAAGATGCTTTTGCTTTACTTTTTTATTCAAGTGCTGTTAAGTGGCCCACAAGTGATGAAACACATATTGCCAAGGATTTATAGCAAAGACTTTCTAAAAGCATAGATAACTAAGAAAACACAGCTACTAAGAAAAAGTCAGGTGATCTGTTGAGATACTGTCAACTCAATACGCAGAATCCCCAATACTGGCAAAGACTTCAGCAGGCAGCATGTCTGACGCCTCCTCTTCAATACTGGGACTCTGATATCCTGTTTCTTTATGAAGTCAGAGTGGCTAACGTTTTTTTTTTTTCTCAAAAAAAACAGATGTTAGA